AAATGTTTCTGATCTCACTCCGAACTCGTGTAGAATGTGATGCGATCATATCATGCTCTGTTTTGTGCCGTTGAAAGCGTTTAATATCTCGTTGGAAAGATCATACCGAGTTCTAAAAGTTGTCTTCAGGCTCTGGTTTCAGAATATAAATGGATGATTGCCTATTTAATAAAATACACTGTATTTACGCTAAAAGTACTCTATTTTCGCTGAAAACGCTAAATCATAGAGATAAGGCTAAGTATTTGTGACACTCATATCTTTCTGTGTGTTTATCCGTTAGGAGCGTATTATATCTCGTCGGAAAGATAGATCGGAGCTCTAAAACTATTTTTCCAACTTCATTTACAATACATTAGTTAAAAGTTACATATTAACCATATATTCACAAATGTTTGTGATTTCACTCCGAACTCGTGTAGAATTTGATGCGATCATATCTTGCTTTATTTTGTGCCATTGAAAGCGTTTAATATCTCGTTGGAAAGATCTTACCAAGTTCTAAAACTTGTCTTCAGCCGTTTGTTTCAAAATAGCAAGGGATGATTGCCTAATTACTAAACTACACTGTATTTACGCTAAAAGTGCTCTATTTTCGCCAAAACGCTAAATCATAGAGATAAGGCTAAGTATTTGTGACACTCATATCTTGCTGTGTGTTTATCCGTTTGGAGCGTATTATTTCTCGTTGGAAAGCTAGATCGGAGATCTAAAGCTATTGTTTCAACTTCATTTACAATTCATTAATTAAAAGTTACAGATTAACGATATATTCACAAATGTTTCTGATTTCACTGCGAACTCGTGTAGAATTTGATGCGATCATATCTTGCTCTATTTTGTGCTGTTGAAAGCGTTTAATATCTCCTTGAAAAGATATTACCGAGTTCTAAAACATGTCTTCAGGCGCTGGTTTCCAAATATCAAGGGATCATTGCCTAATTACTAAAATACACTGTATTTACGCTAAAAGCGCTCTATTTTCGCTGAAAACGCTAAATCATAGAGATAAGGCTAAGTATTGGTGACACTCATATCTTGCTGTGTGTTTATTCGTTTGGAGCGTATTATATCTCGTTGTAAAGATAGATCGGAGCTCTAAAGCTATTGTTCCAACTTAATTTACAATGCATTAATTAAAAGTTACAGATTAACCATATATTCACAAATGTTTCTAATTTCACTCCGAACTCATGTAAAATTAAATGTGATCATATATTGCTCTATTTTGTGCTGTTGAAAGCGTTCAATATCTCGTTGGAAAGATCTTACCGAGTTCTAAAACTTGTCTTCAGGCGCTGGTTTCAAAATATCAAGGGATGATTGCCTAATTACTAAAATATACTGTATTTACGCTAAAAGTGCTCTATTTTCGCTAAAAACGCTAAATCATAGAGATAAGGCTAAGTATTTGTGACACTCATATCTTGCTGTCTGTTTATCCGTTTGGATCGTATTATATCTCGTTGGAAAGATTCATCGGAGCTCTAATGCTATTGTTCCAAATTCATTTACAATGCATTAATTAAAAGTTACTTATTAACCATATATTCACAAATGTTTCTGATTTCACTCCGAACTCGTGTAGAATATTATGCAATCATATCTTGCTCAGTGTTGTGCCGTTGAAAACGTTTAATATCTCGTTGGAAAGATCTTAGCGAGTTCTAAAACTTGTCTTCAGGCGCTGGTTTCAAAACATCAAGGGATTGTTGCCTAATTACTAAACTACACTGTATTTACGCTAAAAGTGCTCTATTTTCGCTGAAAATGTTAAATCATAGAGATAAGGCTAAGTATTTGTGACACTCATATCTTGCTGTGTGTTTATCCGTTTGGAGCGTATTATATCTCGTTGGAAAGATAGATTGGAAATCTAAAGCTATTGTTCCAACTTTATTTACAATGCATTAATTAAAAGTTACAGATTAACCATATATTCACAAATGTTTCTGATTTCACTCCGAACTCGTGTAGAATATGATTCGATCATATCATGCTCTATTTTGTGCCGTTGAAAGCGTTTAATATTTCGTTGGAAAGATCTTACCGAGTTCTAAAACTTTTCTTCAGGCTCCGGTTTCAGAATATCAAGGTATGATTGCCTAATTACTAAAATACTCTGTATTTACGCTAAAAGTTCTCTATTTTCGCTGAAAACGCTAATCATAGAGATAAGGCTAAGTATTTGTGACACTCTTATCTTGCTGTGTGTTTATCCGTTTGGAGCGTATTATATCTCGTTGGAAAGATAGATCGGAGATCTAAAGCTATTGTTCCAACTTCATTTACAATGCATTAATTAAAAGTTACAGATTAACCACATATTCACAAATGTTTCTGATCTCACTCCGAACTCGTGTAGAATGTGATGCGATCATATCATGCTCTGTTTTGTGTCGTTGAAAGCGTTTAATATCTCGTTGGAAAGATCATACCGAGTTCTAAAAGTTGTCTTCAGGCTCTGGTTTCAGAATATAAATGGATGATTGCCTATTTACTAAAATACACTGTATTTACGCTAAAAGTACTCTATTTTCGCTGAAAACGCTAAATCATAGAGATAAGGCTAAGTATTTGTGACACTCATATCTTTCTGTGTGTTTATCCGTTAGGAGCGTATTATATCTCGTCGGAAAGATAGATCGGAGCTCTAAAACTATTTTTCCAACTTCATTTACAATACATTAGTTAAAAGTTACATATTAACCATATATTCACAAATGTTTGTGATTTCACTCCGAACTCGTGTAGAATTTGATGCGATCATATCTTGCTTTATTTTGTGCCATTGAAAGCGTTTAATATCTCGTTGGAAAGATCTTACCAAGTTCTAAAACTTGTCTTCAGCCGTTTGTTTCAAAATAGCAAGGGATGATTGCCTAATTACTAAACTACACTGTATTTACGCTAAAAGTGCTCTATTTTCGCCAAAACGCTAAATCATAGAGATAAGGCTAAGTATTTGTGACACTCATATCTTGCTGTGTGTTTATCCGTTTGGAGCGTATTATTTCTCGTTGGAAAGCTAGATCGGAGATATAAAGCTATTGTTTCAACTTCATTTACAATTCATTAATTAAAAGTTACAGATTAACGATATATTCACAAATGTTTCTGATTTCACTGCGAACTCGTGTAGAATTTGATGCGATCATATCTTGCTCTATTTTGTGCTGTTGAAAGCGTTTAATATCTCCTTGAAAAGATATTACCGAGTTCTAAAACATGTCTTCAGGCGCTGGTTTCCAAATATCAAGGGATCATTGCCTAATTACTAAAATACACTGTATTTACGCTAAAAGCGCTCTATTTTCGCTGAAAACGCTAAATCATAGAGATAAGGCTAAGTATTGGTGACACTCATATCTTGCTCTGTGTTTATTCGTTTGGAGCGTATTATATCTCGTTGTAAAGATAGATCGGAGCTCTAAAGCTATTGTTCCAACTTAATTTACAATGCATTAATTAAAAGTTACAGATTAACCATATATTGAAAAATGTATCTGATTTCACTCCGAACTGGTGTAGAATTTGATGCGATCATATCTTGCCCTATTTTGTGCCCTTGAAAGCGTTTAATATCTCGTTAGAAAGATATTATCGAGTTCTAAAACATGTCTTCAGGCGCTGGTTTCAAAATATCAAGGGATGATTGCCTAATTACAAAAATACACAGTATTTACGCTAAAAGTGCTCTATTTTCGCTGAAAACGCTAAATCATAGAGATAAGGCTAAGTATTTGTGACACTCATATCTTGCTGTGTGTTTATCCGTTTGGATCGTATTATATCTCGTTGGGAAGATAGATCGGAGCTCTAAATCTATTTTTCCAACTTCATTTACAATGCATTAATTAAAACTTACAGATTAACCATATATTCACAAATGTTTCTGATTTCACTCCGAACTCGTGTAGAATTTGATGCGATCATATCTTGCTCTATTTTGTGCCGTTGAAAGCGTTTTATATCTCGTTGGAAACATCTTACCGAGTTCTATTTTTTGGATAAAATGTAAGTATATATCCAAGAAAATAGCATAATACAATGCGTCAAAAATATATCAAAACCTATCAAGCTAGCTATACTAACTAGAATAGTATCTAACCATTCAACCCCCCCCCCCCCCACCCCCAAATGGGAAAGATGGGGGAGAGAGGGTTTTTTATGGCACAAACCAAACGGCACGGGACAGACCCCGGCTCGAACCAACAAAATCAAGTAACCAAGATGGACTAGCCCAAGAAAGGACCAGCCCATCAACGAGTCATAAGCCTCTCGTAGGGCACCGGTCGCCGAGCCCAAAATGGAGCTCATTGGCCAGTAAAGTCACCAGTAATATGCATTCCCCAAAGCCCAGCTTTTGGAAGCAATAAATCCATAAATCCAGCAGTCCAGCAGTGAAGCCCAGCTTCCGAGCAGCACTTCAAAACACTTGGGCCCGAAATCCATCAGCCCACTATGCCACAGCTCACCTTCATTTCACCTGGAGCCAAGTCGTCCAGGCTTCAGTCAGCAGAACTTGGAAGCACGCATGGGCGCGGGCTCCAAACCAACACAGCAGCCCAAAAGAATTAACAAAGCAGGCATGGAAATTAGGGTTGCGGCCCAAACCCCAAAACCCCTCATCGCTAACTCCTCCAGCCGCAATAGCCAAAGACCTAGTCAACCCGACAGGCCTCAACGGTCACCTGTCAATCAAACCCCACCCCCCATTTCCGACCACCCCACCTAGTGCCGGTACCACCAGGCAGCCCGGCGGCCGGAAAGAGGAGTCACCCCGCCGGAAGTTCAAAACACCTTTGTACCCGCATATCCACCTTCCACCACCCACCCCCGTCACCGGAGGCGTCAGAGAGACGGCGAAGACCGACTTCAATCCTCCCGACCAGTTTTCCGGTCATCTTCTTCAGCAAGACCATCCATTTTCAGGCATTTTACCATCCTCCCGTCGCCTTAGCATCGTCATCAGACCTCACCCCAAGAAGTGAAGCTCCCTTTATCGTCACCCACCACCATCTTCCCGATCCCTGCCCCTGTACATGCCACCCTCCACACGCAGTGGCCACTGGCCGGTCCTCAACGGCGGTAGGTGCTACCAGGAGCAAACCCTCAGTTCAAAGTCGTATAGGCACATGTCCGGCTTCATGAAGGGGTCATCCGCCATTGGAGGACACAGATCAAGATCAAAACCATCCCGAAACCAACCTGGCAAAGCCTCCACCTTCCTTCACCGGAGGTACTCCGAAGACCCAACCAAATTTCTCCCTCTGGTCAACCTCCCATTAGAACATAACCTGGCCTTCCTCTTGCCCAACCTCGTCATTGTACATGCTCCCCCCACACGCAATCACCCCGGCCGGCCAGTTCATCAGTGACGGCCGGTACATCCAGAAGATCAACCCCAAGGGACAAACTGTTCGAGCATCATGAGCATCCACCAGCAAACTCCAGCAGAAGCTCCGCCATGGAAGAATCCAGCTCAAGCTCTAAGCTTTTCACAACACCCAAACATAGTAACCCAACTCCCCCTCCTTCACTAGAGCATCCACAGACGCCATATCCAGGCCTATCTCCTCCGGTCTGAGCTTCCCTTTCTCGCCGCCGGACCTTCACCTTCCCCAGTCCTCGTCACTGTACTTGCCTCCCCTCAACAAGCAATGACCCCGGCCGGCCGGTTTTCAGTAATGGCCGGAGCTTTCAGGAAGCTCATGCTTCGGTTCAGGCTGTATATACACGCCCATGGAGTACACCGGCGAGCTGGAGCAGGATACACCGCCATGGAAGAATCCGAACCTCCCTAAATTCCTTAACAACCAAAATCAAACACATCCAAAGACCCATTTTCCAAAAATCTAGACAACCAAACTATAAGCCAACCGGAGCCGGGAGGGCTCCGGTGGCGGCGTCCACCGCGAGTGGCGGCGCCGGAATAGTAGAGACCTAGACTGATTCTAGTGAGAGAAACTGCTCTCAACCCTTACTACCCGCTTGATCTTATCATACCGAGTTATCTTACCGAGTTCTAAAACTTGTCTTCAGGCGCTGGTTTCAAAATATCAAGGGATGATTACCAAATTACTAAAATACACTGTATTTACGCTAAAAGTGCTCTATTTTCTCCGAAAACGCTAAATCATAGAGATAAGGCTAAGTATTTATGACACTCATATCCTGCTGTGTGTTTATCCGTTTAGAGCGTATTATATCTCGTGTGAAAGATAGATCGGAGCTCTAAAGGTATTGTTCCAACTTCATTTACAATGCATTAATTAAAAGTTACAGATTAACAACATATTCACAAATGTTTCTGATTTCACTCCGAACTCGTGTAGAATTTGATGCGATCATATCTTGCTCTATTTTTGGCCGTTGAAAGCGTTTAATATCTCGTTGGAAAGCGCTTACCGAGTTCTAAAACTTGTTTTCAGGCGTTGGTTTCAAAATATCAAGGGATGATTGCCTAATTACTAAAATACACTGTATTTACGCGAAAAGTGCTCTATATTAGCTGAAAACGCTAAATCATAGAGATAAGGCTAAGTATTTGTGACACTCATATCTTGTTGTGTGTTTATCCGTTTGGAGCGTATTATATCTCGTTGGAAAGATAGATCGGAGCTCTAAAGCTGATGTTCCAACTTCATTCACAATGCTCTAATTAAAAGTTACAGATTAACCATATATTCACAAATGTTTCTGATTTCACTCGGAATTCGTGTAGAATTTGATGCGATCATATCTTGCTCTATTTTGTGCCGTTGAAAGCGTTTAACATCTCGATGGAAACATCTTACCGAGTTCTAAAACTTGTATTCAGTCTCTGGTTTCAAAATATCAAGGGATGATTGCCAAATTACTTCAATACACTGTATTTACGCTAAAAGTCCTCTATTTTCGCTGAAAACGCTAAATCATAGAGATAAGGCTAATTATTTGTGACACTCATATCTTGCTGTGTGTTAATCCGTTTGGAGCGTATTATATCTCGTTGGAAAGATAGATGGGAGCTCTAAATCTATTGTTCCAACTTCATTTACAATGCATTAATTAAAAGTTACAAATTAACCATATATTCACAAATGTTTCTGATTTCACTCCGAACTCGTGTAGAATTTGATGCGAACATATCTTGCTCTATTGTTTGCCGTTGAAAGCGTTTAACATCTCGTTGGAACGATCTTACCGAGTTCTAAAACCTGTCTTCTGGCGCTGGTTTCAAAATATCAAGGGATGATTCCCTAATTACTAAAATACACTGTATTTACGCTAAAAGTGCTCTATTTTCGCTTAAAATGCTAAATCATAGAGATAAGGCTAAGTATTTGTGACACTCATATCTTGCTGTGTGTTTATCCGTTTGGAGCGTATTATATCTCGTTGGAAAGATAGATCGGATCTCTAAAGCTATTGTTCCAACTTCATTTACAACGCATTAATTAAAAGTTACAGATTAACCATATATTCACAAATGTTTCTGATTTCACTCCGAACTCGTGTAGAATGTGATGCGATCATATCATGCTCTATATTGTGCCGTTGAAAGCGTTTAATATCTGGTTGAAAAGATCTTACCGAGTTCTAAACCTTGTCTTCAGGCTCTGGTTTCATAATATCAAGGGATGATTCCCTAATTACTAAAATACACTCTATTTACGCTAAAAGTGCTCTAGTTTCGCTGAAAACGCTGAATCATAGAGATAAGGCTAAGTATTTGTGACACTCATATCTTTCTGTGTGTTTATCCTTTTGGAGCGTATTATATCTCGTTGGAAAGATAGATCGGAGCTCTAAATCTATTGTTCCAACTTCATTTACAATTCATTAATGAAAAGTTACAGATTAACCATATATTCACAAATGTTTCTAATTTCACTCCAAACTCGTGTAGAATTTGATGCGATCATATCTTGCTCTATTTTGTGCCGTTGAAAGCGTTTAATATCTCGTTGGAAAGATCCTACCGAGTTCTAAAACATGTCTTAAGGATCTGGTTTCATAATATCAAGGGATGATTGCCTAATTATTAAAATACACTGTATTTACGCTAAAAGTGCTCTATTTTCGCTGAAAACGCTCAATCATAGAGATAAGGCTAAGTATTTGTGACACTCATATCTTACTGTGTGTTTATCCGTTTGGAGCGTATTATATCTCGTTGGAAAGATAGATCGGAGCTCTAAAACTATTGTTCCAACATCATTTAAAATGCATTAATTAAAAGTTATAGATTAACCATATATTCACAAATGTTTCTGATGTCACTCTGAACCTCGTGTAGAATGTAATGGGATCATATCTTACTCTAATTTGTGCCGTTGAAAGCGATTAATATCTCTTTGGAAAGATCTTACCGAGTTCTAAAACATGTCTTCAGGAGCTGGTTTCAAAATTTAAGGGATGATTGCCTAATTACTAAAATACACTGTATTTACGCTAAAAGTGCTCTATTTTCGCTGAAAACGCTAAATCATAGAAATAAGGCTAAGTATTTGTGACACTCTTATCTTGCTGTGTGTTTATCCGTTTGGAGCGTATTATATCTCGTTGGAAAGATAGATCGGAGCTCTAAAGCTATTGTTCTAAATTCATTTACAATGCATTAATTAAAAGTTACAGATTCACCATATATTCACAAATGTTTCTGATTTCACTCCGAACTCGTGTAGAATTTGATGCAATCATATCTTGCTCTATTTTATGCCGTTGAAAGCGTTTAATATCTCGTTGGAAAGATCATACCGAGTTCTAAAACTTTTCTTCAGGCGCTGTTTACAAAATATAGAGGGATGATTTCCTAATTACTAAAATACACTGTATTTACGCTTAAAGTGCTCTATTTTCGCTGAAAACGCTAAATCATAGAGATAAGGCTGAGTATTTGGTGACACTCATATCTTGCTGTGTGTTTATCCGGTTGGAGCGTATTATATCTCGTTGGAAAGATACATCGGATCTCTGAATCTGATGTTTCAACTTCATTCACAATTCATTAATTAAAAGTTACAGATTAACGATATATTCACAAATGTTTCTGATTTCACTGCGAACTCGTGTAGAATTTGATGCGATCATATCTTGCTCTATTTTGTGCCGTTGAAAGCGTTTAATATCTCCTTGAAAAGATATTACCGAGTTCTAAAACATGTCTTCAGGCGCTGGTTTCAAAATATCAAGGGATGATTGCCAAATTACTAAAATACAATGTATTTACGCTAAAAGTCCTCTATTTCCGCTGAAAACGCTAAATCATAGAGATAAGGCTAAGTATTGGTGACACTCATATCTTGCTGTGTGTTTATCCGTTTGGAGCGTATTATATCTCGTTGTAAAGATAGATCGGAGCTCTAAAGCTATTGTTCCAACTTAATTTACAATGCATTAATTAAAAGTTACAGATTAACCATATATTGACAAATGTTTCTGATTTCACTCCGAACTGGTGTAGAATTTGATGCGATCATATCTTGCCCTATTGTGTGCCGTTGAAAGCGTTTAACATCTCGTTGGAACGATCATACCGAGTTCTAAAACATGTCTTCAGGCGCTGGTTTGAAAATATCAAGGGATGATTGCCTAATTACAAAAATACACAGTATTTACGCTAAAAGTGCTCTATTTTCGCTGAAAACGCTAAATCATAGAGATAAGGTTAAGTATTTGTGACACTCATATCTTGCTGTGTGTTTATCCGTTTGGATCGTATTATATCTCGTTGGAAAGATAGATCGGAGCTCTAAATCTATTTTTCCAACTTCATTTACAATGCATTAATTAAAACTTACAGATTAACCATATATTCACAAATGTTTCTGATTTCACTCCGAACTCGTGTAGAATTTGATGCGATCATATCTTGCTCTATTTTCTGCCGTTGAAAGCGTTTTATATCTCGTTGGAAACATCTTACCGAGTTCTAAAACTTGTCTTCAGGCGCTGGTTTCAAAATATCAAGGGATGATTACCAAATTACTAAAATACACTGTATTTACGCTAAAAGTGCTCTATTTTCTCCGAAAACGCTAAATCATAGAGATAAGACTAAGTATTTGTGACACTCATATCCTGCTGTGTGTTTATCCGTTTGGAGCGTATTATATCTCGTGTGAAAGATAGATCGGAGCTCTAAAGGTATTGTTCCAACTTCATTTACAATGCATTAATTAAAAGTTACAGATTAACAACATATTCACAAATGTTTCTGATTTCACTCCGAACTCGTGTAGAATTTGATGCGATCATATCTTGCTCTATTTTGGGTTGTTGAAAGCGTTTAATATCTCGTTGGAAAGCGCTTACCGAGTTCTAAAACTTGTTTTCAGGCGTTGGTTTCAAAATATCAAGGGATGATAGCCTAATTACTAAAATACAATGTATTTACGCGAAAAGTGCTCTATATTCGCTGAAAACGCTAAATCATAGAGATAAGGCTAAGTATTTGTGACACTCATATCTTGTTGTGTGTTTATCCGTTTGGAGCGTATTATATCTCGTTGGAAAGATAGATCGTAGATCTAAAGCTATTGTTCCAAATTCATTTACAATGCATTAATTAAAAGTTACAGATTAACCATATATTCACAAATGTTTCTGATTTCACTCCGTACTCGTGTAGAATTTGATGCGATCATATCTTGCTCTATTTTGTGCCGTTGAAAGCGTTTAATATCTCGTTGGAAAGATCATACCGAGTTCTAAAACTTTTCTTCAGGCGCTGTTTACAAAATATAGAGGTATGATTGCCTAATTACTAAAATACACTGTATTTACGCTTAAAGTGCTCTATTTTCGCTGAAAAC